CACACAAAGCCCAAGAACTCAGATTCTTATGCCCATCCTTTCCCCCGAACAATTATAGAAAAAGGATGCATTCTCCTCATGTTACTTTTTCTGTAGCCTGTGGACATGCTAAGACAACTACCCACGGCCACCACTTGTTTCAGACAACTACTTTGACATGAGTTTCATGGCAACTTGAGAATTTACAGTAATCTGACACACAGATTATTAATTATAATTTCCACAATTTATTATGCCCAAGGTTTTTGGGCTGTTAGACACCTTTGCCCATTAACTAGCTTAAAAAGCTCAGTGATTAGGAACAGTGTGCCTTCCTCTACCAAATACTTCCATAATAGTCAGACCATTCTATAACTCTCACCACAGAAAAAATAAACTCTTAATTGTATCAGTAGTATATATGTTCTCAAATGAATACACTGACTGAACATGTGATGTACACAATGTTTTTTTCAGTAGAAGGTTTGGCAGCCAAAGACTCAGCCAAGTCTTAGGAGTTTTTTGTTTGAAAACTCTGGTCTTACCCATATATTTATTCTTTCTTCAAAGTTACGTTGAGATAACATATCTTGCATTTAGAAAAGAAGAAAATCCCACTCTATCTCCATCTTCTCATTCTCTGTCAGGCCCTTTGGCTGGAGCCCATGTCACTTTGTGCATACTGTGCACGGACTCAGATTCCTGCTCCCCCATCTTGCACCAATCAGCGCAAAGAAAGAATTGACTGGAGGGATGTCCACTTATCAGTCATTGTCAGGAGCAGGTGGTGACAGCAGGCAAGCAAACATCCCAGAAATCTCTTAAACAACTGAAGTGCAAGAGAAGAAAGGAATCAAAATAAAATAAGGTTGCAGACAGTGGAAAAACAAAGATGGTATTAAAAGTGTATGGACACTTTATTGGCATAAAAATTGATGTTGTGGGAGTGCCATGTGTTTGTATGCATAGAGGTAATTAATTGATAAATTAGAATTGTTCAGTGTTCAAAAACATTTTTCCAAAGTTTTACAAAGTAAAATGTCAAATAGTATGCATTGAAAATATTTCGAATTTTATGTCTGTGTATTTCTTCATGTCACTGTCTACTAGGATTTCTTTCAGGAATATGTACAGGCTTACAAATTATTCTAACTTCTAATAAAAATGTTATCTTGAAACATTCACTCTCAGCAGTGTTTTAAAAGAATATGCAAATATATCTCTCCTCACTCTCCTGAATATTGAGGGACTGTTTGGCTAATCTTCCACTTCCTTAAAGTAAACTGAATGATACCTTTTAAAAAGAATGAAATTAAATTTTCTGCTGAAAACTGAGGTGTTCAATTGAGGCAGAGCTAGGAATAGACCTCTTTCAAATAGTGTGAGAAGGAAGATACTACTCCAATAGTATTTCAACATTATGCTATTATTAAAAAAATCCCTTGCACAGTTTTAAGCAGATTTAGGGTTCCTTAAAGGTGAGTAAGCCACCAAAAAGCAACTAAGAATCATGCAGTGAATCTCTGCTCTGTGCCCCAGGGCTCTAACCAAATTATTTGTCTTTGTGGCAGCAGAATGTGCAGACAATGGGAAGAGCTGAGCAGTCCCCTCCAGGAGGGGATGTTAAAGAGCAAGTTAGACTGTACCCAGAAGCAGTGAGAGTTTGTACACGCTGCTTCCCTGCAGAGAGGTGCAAGGCACTGCCTGAGGGCCTTTTTGCAGCTTCAGACTTGTTTCCACCACCTGATGTGTCAGAGATGGGAAGCAGTAAACCATCAACCCCACCCCTGGAGCGGGTCATCATGTTTATAACCTCCATATGTGCGCACACTGACCCACCTCAATTCCTACTTTTGCTCTTCTGAAGTGCCACGTGTCTTTGCCAGATAAAACAACATGAAAGAAAATCCCACAACTGCATATACATTTTTTCTTTAAACAAGTCCAAACCTGTCTTCAACCCCTGACTCACCCTAACTCACCCAAGCCATGGGGTTGTCCTTGCTTGGGGTGATATTTTGGCATCCTGGAGCTCAGCAAGGGGGAAAACCTGTACACAAGCCCTGGGGGACCATTCCATGTACACTGGTGCCTTGAAAGTAGCAGATGGAGTTGTTCCCACCACCACCTCATCCTGGCTTTATCTGTGCACAGTACTTTGCAGTCCTATCTGGCCAGCTTTAGCCAGAGGTTTCAGCTTGTTCTGCATAGCTGAGGGACACCACACGCCGCAGCAAAGTGCTACAGGAGAAGAAAGTGAGTGAGGAGGAGGCAGCAGAAGGTTGGCAGGACAGACCCAGCTCTTCAAGCTCTATGTTCAGCCAAGGGGAGTCCCCTGCACTTGGGATACAAACCCAGTTACATTCAGGACTTCGTGTCATCCTGCTTCTCCAAACAACCTGGGACAATGCAGCCATTCTTCAGAGCAGGTCATCTCCAGGAGCTGAGCAACTGCAGGGCAGGATCAATCCCTCCATGATCAGGGATAAAGCATCACATCTTTCAGTCTTTCCATTATTTTGTCTGTTAAGTATTTGTCTTAAATCCTTACACAGTGTCAGCCATGTAAAACTTCACTGTTAAATCTTCATTCTTACATTGGGAGCGAAAACTAAACTCCAAATGGATTTTGAAGCATTTCATTTAGCTGAGAATGGCTTACTGGAGTCCTAATGTATTAATTTCATATGCCGAGCTTTATGTCAGAGTGACAAGATAAACAGTCTCAGAAAAATATTTTTCAGTAATTCATAAACAAAAACCCCAGCAATGGTCCAGCTGAGAAATCTTTTTCTCATATAAAAGTGTGATGCATCTGAAATATTTGTTGACCATCAATGCAATCTGAAGATAAACAAAAATCTGAGTATTTCATTATTCGCACTTGTCTATACTTGGTATTAACATAACATAGAATAAACAAGAACAGACAGTCAATTTGTTTTATACATAAACAATATCTGAAAATATAGATGCATTACCAGCAATTCTTAGCTTATTTTTCTAAAAGGATTTTGTAAATTGCTCTCCTTAATATACTACCACAATTTTTATAAATTGCTCTATTAGCACAATTTATGGAGATTGTGTCATGCAGATTGTTAGTAAATTGAGTCACTTTTTCTCATTTATTTCCATTTTTCTTCGTGAGGGCATAATTCAGCTGAAATACAAGGAACAGATTCTTCTCTCAATTACACCAGACAGTGTCTGAGTTACTACACTGGCCTCATTTAAAGAAAGTGAAACCTAGATCCTGATTTTCCATGTTTTAAATTCCATGAAAGAAAAAAAAAGTTTCTTCAAAATGTTACTGCAGCTGAGATGAAATTAGTTTACCCATTACCAACATGATGCTTAAGTATTTCTTTTTTGGTTTTTTTTGTCTTAGTACAGTATTGGGCTAGACAGTAAAATCTAATTTCATCTGAAATAATGTGGTTAAATTACCCATATAAATATTATCATTTAACCAAGCTTTGAGAAAATTATCAATGCTGCGGGGAAAAAAGCACGTGTAAGAAATTAGCAAAGTGTATAGAAAAGGGAAAGACAATTAACAAAAATGTGGAAATTATCCTCACTCTAGGCTGACTTCCAAAGGCTCTGGTAGTAATTCCCCTTGCACACAAACTTGAATGAAGTTCCTTTCAGTAGATTTTTTTTTCTCTATCATAAACAATATGGTACACATTTTTGAAGACATGCATTCCAGAGGATACAGCATGACATTGCAAACAACTTAATCCCAAATATTTGGCAAATGTGGGGCCAGATCTTGAAAGCTTTCAAAGAACAAAAGGAATCCCATGGGCTTTTCAATAGGTTTTGTGAAAAATCTTTAGTGTTTCCACTCTAAGAATATCCCAGGATCCCCCAAGAAACACCACAAATTACTTTAATGTTTAGAGGACCTAAGGAATAAGGATCACAGATAAACTGAAAGAATATGAAGGGGAGCCAGTCACCCCAAAGAGGAGGGGGATGATTGTGCCTCTCCAATCTCCAAAGGCTCACAGAGGCAGCAACAGGCTTGACAGCAGAGGGAAATAAATATCCTTATCCCTTCCCTCCATAAGAGTCACTTAATGAAGGAGAGGCACAGGAAACCAGTCTTGTCAGGAAAGGTTAACAGAGGTGCAGGAGGTTGGAGGCATTGGGGAGTGGGGTGTTACACAAGGAGACAGCCCAAAAATGCTGCCAAAAGCACTCTGTCCTGCCAGCAGGAGGAGAGAGGAAGCACCTGAGAGGTCAGAGGGGAAACAACAGAGACAGGCACAAAAAGTAGGATGCATTAGACCATGTGAGGTATAGAGGAAGTGCATCTGACAGGGGTAGGAAACAGTATACACTGGAGATACATTTAGGGACAACTAATGGTTTCAGAGCAGGACTAGGTAGGGCAGAAAAGTGAGAGTACTGCAAGGTGTGATTTTTCATCAAACCAAGAGATTTTGGCAGGTTTTTGCCATCCTGAATGCTAAGATGAGTAGTAATGAGCCTCAAGGGTTTGGGGTAGGAGCATCCTTTGCAATGAAGAGTTTCTCCAATTTTACTCACTCTCACCTCCTGCCTTTTGGTCCTCTTGGTGCTCTAGAGACAGCAACTGCTTCTTAAAATGTGTCTGTGTTTTACTTATTATTGAGCTCAAACTCAAAATTAGTCTTTAATGAAACCTAAAAATATAACTTGTGTTCTTTCATCTGATGAAAGCACTGGCAAAACAACTGGGGCCCTGAGTAAGGTGGAGAAATTTACTCTTATTGTTATAAGAGCAATTTGTAGATCTTTTTTTCTCTAATATTGATAAAGGCTTAGACAAAAAAAAAGTAAATACATCCTGATCAAGATACAAACATATTTTAAAAAGGAAAAAAAATTCAAATAAAAAGCTCAAGAATTGAAATTGAAGCTGACTTTTTTAATGTTTATATTTATTTTTCCTTTAAATACACATTTTAAAATTAGTTTTATGATTTCATCATTTCAATAAACACTTCCAGAGAAATATATAAATGCAAATGTTATAAGAAACCATGTAACAAGTTTCCTTCAAGAACAGTTATGTCACTGTAATACTACAAGCATGAACTGAAGTCACATAACTTCCTGGTAGGTAGCCCCTGAGAAAAGAAACAAAAGTTTCATTATTTGCGCTTCATCTTCTGACTTTAGCCAAGAATAATCAGATCATTAATGGGTCATCAGGTAGCACTCTCCTTGCCCACTTTTCCCCCCCCTAGTTTTCTTTCCAGACACCTTTACTACCCCAGATAAGAATGACAAGAATAGAACCATCACAAATACAGTCGTAGAATGGTTTGGGTTGGAAAGGACCTTAATGATCAAAACTTTATAATCCCCCAGCCATGGGCAGGGACACCTTCCACTAGACAGGGTTGCTCAAAACCCCATCCAGTCTGGCCTTGAACACTTCCAGGGATGGGACATCCACAGCTTCTCTGAGCACCCTGTTCCAGTGCCTCACTTCCCTCACAGCAAAGAATTTCTTACTGATATCTAACCTAAACCTTCCCTTTCTCAGTTTGAAGTCATTCCCTTTTGTCCTGTAACTACATGCTCTTGTAAAATGGCCCCTTCTGACTTTCTTGTAGGTCCCCTTCAGGCACTGAAAGGTTGCTATAAGGATACCAACATCATATTCATGTAAACGAATGTACAGCAGAATGCAGGTTTTCCCAACCATCTGTGCTTTATGCAAATATCACATACTTGCAGGCTTCCAATAATGAGCAAGCAACGAGGTGTTTGAAGGAGCAGGAGAGGATGCATTTCAGGGAAGCCTTTGCCCTAACTCAAATCACTGTTACGTTTTCAGGGTTTGTGACTCATCTGATGAGGTTTTCTTCCCCTCCCCACATAGGTAGAACAGTGAACAATAAATAAATGACAGGGTTGTAACACATACTACTAGAGAGAAATAGTTAGCAACTCTGAAGACTTAAGAAAGGGAGCTTCTTAAGAAAGGAAAGTGCAACACTCAGCTTGCACTTGCAGGCATTTTTTAAATTCTCTTGTTGAAATAAAAAACAGGATAAGGACTCTTGATCACAGCTTCTGCTTCACTTTAATTGCCATTGATGTGACAATAGTCTAAAATTTTCTCAGTCCCCAAATTCTTCAAATACCATGAATAGATTGTTTTACACAGACACCAATAAACTACAAAAAAAAATTACAGAATACACATTCCACCAGGAACACTTTAAAAAAACATGTTCTGGTAATGGATATCGCAGGAAAGGTTTTGAAGCATCATTACTGACTAGGATGCAAGTCTCTATGCTGACTTTAAATACATGTGCATGAAGTGAGAACCTGCCCTATTTCTGAACAATGAAGGATATAAGAAACCAGCTGAAGTTCTCCCACTAAAAAGCTGACTGCAATGGTAAGAATCAATCCTCTCTTCACAGGGTCTGAACTTTAGCTACTGAACTTTACCTGCTAAGCACCTACTTAGAAGAAAAGAACTCTAAGCTGTACCTAAGATGAAGGATGAAAGAACAAAACATATAATTCTAAGAAAAGAGGCATCTAGGAGAGAACAGTCTGGGCAATTCAATGACGAAAAATAAGCAGGCACAGCACAGAGACAGTCATTACAGCAGGAAAGAGGTGAAAGCAAGTCTGGAGAAAAAAAGGATGCAGTAGAGGGTTAAGCAAAAGTAAGATAACCAGAGAGTAGCTGAAAACTACAAAGGAGGTCACAGATAATAGGTAGGAAGTCCCAAGACCTGCTTTCAGGGAAAATTAAACTCGGGTTGAACTGAATTCCTGTACAGGCCAGGTGATGGAACAGCTCACTCAGATGGCTGGGCAATAGGGTTAAGAAACCCTGGTATTTGCTCGGGGTCAACTCCAGTTGAGACAAAAGTTTCTTGGAGCACATCTTTTCTCATCCCTTCTCTCACGTATTTACCTTAGACATTTACACATTTACCTTACACATTTAAAGGTTTTGCTCTGCCCCAGGCTTTTGCTACAGCAAGGAGTTTTAAGCTGTTCAGATATATCTGCATGTCAGGTGTTTGCTCTGCTCTGAGGAATTTGGAAATTTTATAAGGGCAAACTGAACGTTTCACCCCTACAGAGGGTACATTTTAAGGGAGCCTTGCTTTTTCCAGTGCTTCTTAATTTAAATCACCCAATTTTCTCTGAGATTTTAAACTAGGAACTCTGTTTCTTTCTCACCGCTTTTCTCATTCTTGGATTCTTTTTCCCTCTCTATTGTAGCAAAGTCTGCCCCATTGTTCCAAAACTAATATAGTACTATGACAGGAAATGTTCCTTTTTTAAAAAAGGGTAGGGATATGAGAAGGTAAAAAACAAGTTCAGCAAATACTCCAGAACAACAGAAAAAATAATCAAATGACAGGGTGAGGCAAGTACAATCATTTTCCTTCTAGTGTGGTTTATACACATCCTATTTTTGCTGATTTTCAAGGTAGTCTTTATTACCATCAAATCATACAGTAGAGCCTTCTTATTTTATCTGTAATAACTTATTATATTCATGCTAATCTAAGTCAACCTAATTTCTAATTTCTGTACAAATGTTTCTTTGGCTTGGGTTAGTGAGAAGGTGGTGATTCAGCCAGTGGGTCTCTCACTACCCTTCCTAACTGTCCTAGCACAGGGAGGGTTTATACCTGTGCTTTTCATACTGTTTTTGTCAGCAACATACAACTCACCTCAGCTCCTTTTACCCAGATTTGCTTCCTGAGGGCCCTGAGCAAGATGGCCTCTGATTTGGCTGAATCCAGCTTCCTGCCCACTTGTGGTCTCCATTTTTCTGCTTTTTCTCTTTCCTACCCCAAGGAGCCAGAAACTCTATGCTTTCCTCCCTTCCTAGCACTCGCAGCCTGCTAGTTAGGATTTAATTAACCACAGATCCTCTCTTTTGCTGTCTGTATCTTCTGAAGAAAAGCCACCAGCTCTTCTCTGTCATCTCCACCTAATCTGTTGCTTCACTGTAATCCTGGATTGTTTCATAATTAAAACCCGTCTTCCCCATTAGTTTCAGCAGGTTCACCCCTATTGGGTGATTCTGCAAAAATTAATTACCCTCATTTGGGGGTCACCAGAGAAGTCCTGACCTGGTTTTGCCCACGATGATTTCTCATCTCATTGATCCACTCTTTGGTATGGTTCCACTAACATTTGTACTGTCAGAACCAGGGGGATGCTAGACAGTGTAATAAGTCAGAGAAGAAAGAAAATGTCTCTGCCCTGCAGAGAAAGGTTTAAAGCAAATTACAGTTTTGAAAACTTCATAACTTTCAACTTTGTGCTTATGCATCAGTAGCTTTTATCAGAACGGAAAGTACTGGAAGAAAACAGCAGTAAACCAATATAAGCTGTTTGCATAATGGACTTACTGCTTGCAAATACTGATGAACAAGGTTTCCCCTTGGTTAAGTTAGAGGGCAAAGGCAATTTTCCTTGTTTTAACATCAGCTCTTTCTCTTTCTTAGTCAGGCAGCCATTGTCTGGTCTCTCTACTTCTGATATCCCAAGCTTCCTTACTTTTTATTAACCAGAATTAATTAATTAATTAATTAATGTTTATAGTTCATTATCAAAGTGAATGCTCCCACAATTAGTTTTCTAGACATAGAATCACAGAAAAGATGTAAGTAATAATTTGCATTTCATTTCTCCACCTTCAGATGCTTGACTAAGAAAAGAATGCAACTTTCCACTGTGTTTCTGCAAACACACAAAAGCATCCATTATCTAATGAGAACACCCATCTCATTTAGATTCCTGAGCTTGAAGTGCTCAATTACAAAAGAGAGAGTCTATCTATACATGAATGCCAAATATTGGTGGAAGACATGTTGGGACATGTGGAACATACATTTTGGAGAAGTTTATCTTCTCGACATTTACATAAGCCTTCCAGATGCCATAAAACCCACATGGGGTTATGCTACCTTACTGAGGTCCCGTAAATGATGCATGAGTGGTATGGCATCCCATCCATCAGAAGACAGGGAACACAGGAAATGGGGAAGGTAGGAATAGTTTTGTCAAGATACGAACTCCACCTGTTCTGTTTGCCATTTCCCCTCTCTTGGCCAGGACAACCCTGAAAAAAGAAAGCCGTGAGCCGCTAACAAGGTGTTTTCTTCACAAAAACTGTCAAGGCCACTACTGGACCAGAGAACATTTTGTCATCTTTGAGCCTGCAAGTAAAAATCCATTTTGTATAAGTTCAAAAGTATCGCTTTTCAACTATTATGTCTTTATATGTTTTCTAGACAGGGACAGGGCTCAGACCAAAAGCAGAGCTGTCATGGTCAAGCAGCACCTGAGTCAGAACCTCGAGCTGTCTGACAGATTTTCTGTGTCATGCAATAGCTCTGTGCTCCCAGCAGCAAATTATACCTAATAATGAAAATCTCTGCTGCTTGCAGAGACTGTCCACAAGCCAGAAGTGTCCAAAACATGGATAAAGACAGTCCCTGTGAGCAAGGCCAAGAATAGCAATGTCAGTCTGGTCTACAAGACACACATCTGAGCTACAAACCAAAAAATCATCAAAAAAGAAGCTTCATTGATCACAAAGGGATAAAGGCATTTCCTTGCTGTTTGTAGAAAGTTTTCAGATATGCAGCTTTAAAGTGCCGGATAAGAAAAAGTCCTATCTGATTTACATCTCCTGAAATAGATTTAATTAGTTGTGGAGTATCATAAAATGCCTAGGAAGTAGCCACTTGCTGATGTACTCACCTGGGAGCAATTTGAGGAGCTGTTCTTCAGCCCTGTAGACATGCAAGATAAAAAAATATACAGATCATTAGCCAACAATGAAATTAAAAAGACAAATACAGTGACTGGAAAAAGCAATTATCACTTCCATTAAATTTTATCTGATTCACTATCATGTGTGGCTGGACAAAGGGACAAAAAATTGGTGTCCCAACACTTCCTTGGTGAGCTGCTGCATTCAGGACAAGAGGAGACGAAACATAGCCCCCTGCACAGAGGGTTAGGTAGGACTTTGGCATATCAAATCACACTTTCCCAGGATCACAAAATATTCACAGGGAGCTGGAGAAATAAAGCTAGCACTGATGAATAATTCAGAGACAGGACCTGAATTTGGAGTCACTACTCAGACCTGAAGTAGTGTTTTGCCTACAGAAGAGCCATTGGGATTTCTAAGTCATATTTTTCATGATGAGTATGAAGCAGTCAGCAAGAGTCCTCTTCTGCTCTCCATGGGCAATCATCTTGCAGGGCACACCCCTGTTTCTGCTGACTTTTAGTAACTGCATGACTTGGTGAGTGGTCTCAATATCTTCCTGGATGCCACTGCAACAGGTACCCATAGCAAGGTCTGTCTGAACCTTCTCTCCGGTCCTGGTGGTGACTCCTGTGCCGGTCTGCACCTTAGGGACTTCCTTTCCTGAGCCATGGCTCAGTCATTCTCCCTTATTAAGGTAACAGACTTATAGGGATACAGATACTTTGCACTGAACAAGCTTTAAAATACTTTGTGAAATTAACAAGAATACACACCAGTAATTTTCTAGCTCATTCTCTCACCTGTATCCAGGAATATTAGTAGATCATCATTCTCCAAGAATGCTGTCAAATTAGGATCTCCAAACTAAGAGGATAAAGTTTATTTTGAATATTTGTAATGTCTGTGATTAAATATGTATATTTCTTATTTCTATTTTTCAGGCTTGCTCTGAAGAATAGGTCATATTTAATGTCCACCATATGGGAAACAGCCCACCAAATGAAACACGACTTGGGATAATTTCATGGGTATTCAGGAGAACACAAAATTAATTAATTTTCCTTCTGGTTCTCAAAAAGTACCTAGACAGAAGGGAGGCTTTATGAGATGCTAATTTTCTTTCTGTCCCAAAATACCATAGGAATAATTTCCTTGATGTATTTTGCTATTTCAGATTCTTGTCCTGATCAAAAATGAAAAAAATTCAAAGGATGAACAAACGTGAAAGGTTAGCAAAACATATTTGAACCTCAAAAATGTTACATTTGCAGTTTTGGAGAAATCTAAATGTCATTTCAAGCAAACAGATTTTCCCACGGCTCTCCTTAATTCTTAGAGAACATGATAACAAGGATACAGTCAAGAGGTAAAACTAAGATTAATGAGACGTAAGTGAGGCACTTAATAGTTGAATCTGTGGGACGATATGCACAGGAAAATGATAAAATGGTCATGAGGCATGATTCAAGAGTGAACTTCACGAGAAAAAATATGTATCACAGGAAATATATTTGCATTTTAAGAGGAAAGAACTCAATAACCCAGCAGGGCATTTCCGTTTCTAATTATTTTCTACTGTGATTCAGTGACTGGATTCTGGGTTTTGTGAAAATGCTTCTGTATGCCGCAGGAAAGAGATCAAAAGTCATACATTTTTATGTTAATGTAAAGGAGTTCAATCTCAATACAAGATCTCTCTTCCCGGGCCCTTATAGAAATACAGCATCCAATTATAAGCAGCCCAATACCTCTATTGACATGAAGCTCTACAGCAGCATGCACACTTGCAGTGTCCTACACCATCTTAGTCAATTCTTTTTAGGTAATTCATTGCTCAGGTGACAAATATCTCAGGTTTGTTTGCTGATAAACACAACCTGTATTTTCACGTTTCCTCTCATCCAGGATCCTGGACCAGGAGTAGAGAGCTAGGAAGTACCCCCCACTACAAAATATAAGAAAGAGGATAAATTATTTTGAAGTATTTTTCATAACTATTGTAAAACACTGAAAGACCTCAAATGTTCCTTTTGCAAATTATGCACTATTTTTCCCATTGATCCAAACATTTTCCTTTGAGAGTAATATATTCTTTAAATGCTGTGATTTTTTTTTTTCTTTAATGATAATGCTGAAGATTGTCTTTTCCGATTTTTTGTCACACTTAACCACTAATCATAATTTTTAAACCATTTCTCTCAAAGGAAAGACATTTTATTCACACTGATAACACTCTGATAAAGAAGTGTTAGCTGATAGTAAGCAAAACGGGAAATTATCAAGATGCCAATATTTTTCAAAGATATTCCTGAGAACATATGAGTCTAGGTTTTATATTAGCCTTAAAGTTGCTTTAATATAAAGTTTCTTAGTTCCAATTCAAAAAATAGTTTATGAGAAACACAGTCTCTTTATCACCAGCTGCAACATTTCCATGGCAATTTTGGAAGGTGACTTTTCACTGCTTTCTGGGTATATGATTCTTACTCTATGAATAGCAGGGTTTGGGGTTTTTATTCTGGAAGATTCATTTGTTGAAGATTAATTAATAAGCTTCAAGCAGCCTGCTTTTGCCCTACTCATCTGTCATGTTAAGGACTTGACCCTATCTGACAGCATGAATCAGAAACTGATAGATCTCATTGCACCTTGTAAATGAAACACATATACAGGTTCCTGAAATTAGTTTCCTTCCTCAAAGCCAGAACCTTCTGGGACGGAAGGATAGGAGTACAATCCAAACCACTAGACTTTGGAAGGAAATTTGAGACAGGACAGGTAGCAATAAAAGAGACAGAAGAAAGTCAGGTTTTTCCTTCCTCTAGGCTCTACTGACATAGTAAATTTTATTAGAAGTAGTATCCATCACACTGTTAAAAGGATTCAAACCCTGGCTGCCTTTCTATGCTTTGCTTTAACAACCAAATGCAACACCAGGAGAAGGGAAGGAGGAGCATGGCAGCATTGGACACCAGCTGCCATAAGGAGTCCAAGCTCTTGAGGAGAGAGGACTGTGGTTTTTCAAGTGTATCATTTAAGATACAGTTCATAAGAAATGGATTTGATATATGAATGAATACAAGACTGAATTTAGGAAAGGCAAAAAATTGCATTATCAGAACAAAACAGGCCTCCAAAAAGTAGCTGCAGTCCTAAACCCCACACTGTGCTGTGGGGCATGCAAGTGGCTGTGCCCACCACTGGCCCCTTTCTCAGGGAATGGGGTGGCATCCAGCCTCAGAGACGTGGCAGCCACAGGTCAGCAGACAGCCCTACTCATCCTCTCCATCCTGCCTCTGGGAGCTGGGGAAGAGGCTCAGCCCCTGTCCCTTCTGGAATCCCACACAGAGACCAGCCTGTAAGATGACTGTAGATATGACTCACTCAGATCCCTTCCAGGACTTCCTGGGAGGACCAACAGGAAAACGTTTAATAAACCCTGTAGCAGATTTGGGGAATACATATTTTACTATGAAAACATAGCGCAATGATCCTTGCTAAGAATGCAAATACAGTGCAAGACATTTGATATTAAATGTTTGAGTCTCAAAAGGATACTCAGAGGAGTGTCACAGCTGTTAAACTGCCCCATGCCAAGTGCTCAGCACAACGCTGCTCTGAGACGCTGCACTCCTCAGAAACCACCAGGGTGAAAGGCATCACCTGAGCATCCCTGGTGCTACTAAAGGCTTTATGGTAAAAATGCCATAGGCATCAGGATGCCTTCTTTGTTCTGACCTACTTCCAAATTAGGTTACTCAACTGTGACCCAAGACATCAGCTGGATTATGTATTTATCCCTTCCCTCGATAAACTGGTACAGCATGTGACTATACACCATTAAACAGCTGTTGGCTTTCCAGCAAAGCTGGCCATCATTCAGCCATGGATAAAATAATTATGTACAGCACTTCATTGTGTCTAGCCATCCTGAGACAGCTGCTCAAGCGGTAAAGAAACAGATTTCAGGGAATTTGCCCCCGGCCCTATTTCTGAGGTGTTGCATGACCATGACCAGCATTCTCCAGCACAAAGGGCTGCATAGTAAGGCCTCTTTTTAACTCACAGATGTGTGTGGGCAAAAAGGCCCATAATGAACTTCAGTCTGAGATGAGGAATTTGGTGTGGTTTTATAATGCTGCTTTTTTAAATAAGGTATCCAGCTCTCTAGAGCTGCTGTAGGTAATCCTAATAGATACTTAATGATTTTCTGCACTTCATTGTTTAGGCTTGAAGCATAATATGTTAGTGTGCTACACGTGTTCCACAAATAAATATTTTTCTATTTATTATTTTCTGATTGCCTCTTGGACATTATGTACTTTTGCTTCAAACTCTCTCTCATTTGTAAACTGCAGTTGAGAACAATTTATGAAGCACCATTTAAGCCAAGAAGCATTTTTAATGAGTATATTTTGCAAAGGGCAGCACCACCACGAATAACACTAATTAATAGCTGTATTTGATCTGGGAAGGAGGAAAAAGCAAATAGAAATTCAGATATTGATTTGTCCAATGGTCTGCCTATTGTAGACTAGTAACCCTATGTGTTCTCCACAGTGTTCAAATCTTTTTTCTTTTCGTAGCATATGCAAGTACAATATCTGAGGAGAAATAAGAATCGCGAAATTCTCTTTCTGACAGCATACAGTAAGTAACATGTTTCTTTTGGCACTTGATCAGAAGCAACTTTAGTTTTAATACTGCTGAAAAAGCCTTGATTGGAAAGACATCTTTTCATTTCTTGCCTATTTGTTCAATACCTACAAACTGATAAAGCAAAATAATTAGACTGGCCAGTTTAATTCTTAAAGAAGAAAACAAGCAGATACTTTTCTTTAAAGCTTTCCCAGTCGTGTTCTTTGTTTCCTACATTTGTCAAAAACTTACAATTTTCATTCTCTCCCTGCTCCTTCAAGACCTTACTTAATGACTTAGTAAGTATGATCCTCACGGCTAAATGAGGATGCATGGAGAGCAGGTGAGGGCAGATCTCACAGTCAAGGGCAAACAAGCCCTGCCCAAAGGTCTGTACTTCCCACACTGCCACACGGAGCCTGTCATCTTTGCAGCTAACTACCAGCTTGTTCCACATTAGCTCAGACTCCTCCAATGCTCATACCGAATGCACTGATTCCCTAACCCTTGAGCAACCCTTCTAGCACAGCCCACCAAATTTGCTGCTCTAACTGCAAGACCTATTAGGTCTTTTGTCTTGACACCTAAGTTGCTTCTCAGGGCTTTCTGGGAGTATTTTATACTCCCCCTGCCCCCTTCTTGCACTTCACATGAAACAACCCCATTCTTTTGTGTGACAGAATGTAGCAAAAATTAAAATAGACTTCTTTAACAATACTGTATATCTGTAACATAACACAATGCAGAACACAAAGATTATAGATACGATTCTAAAATATGTCAAATAAAAGTTAAAAAATATAGGGGTTTTGACTACATCCATGTCTCTTTGGTATAAAAAAAAGCCCCTAGATGTGGAGAAATAGTTGTAGCCATTACTGGGACATTTTCAGGGCTCCAGTACGTCCCTTCATCTGTGACCACCCTGTCACACTGAGAAGTAACACAAATACAACACGCTTTACTATTGTGATTTTCTGGAGGCTATTTTTTATATGTAGGACAGCTGGTAAGGGGGAACGACAGGGAAATTCCCTCAGGCCTCAGGGCAGAGTGATCCAGCAGTGCCAGACCTGCACCCTGGTCACTGCTTCCTCCTTCTCATCAGCTCTTTGTGGACAGCTCAAGGGCTCTGCAGACACCAGAGCTGGCTCTGGGTTACAACATTAAGGAAAGAAAGAAAGAAAAAAAGAATTTCAGATGGCAGGGACAGAGCACCTACAGAGAGAAAGAGAGAGATGTGAGGATCTGGTTTGCTAGGACCACAAACCATTTCATTGAGACACCCTTGTTCCAGGTTTTTTCTACAAAGATACTTCCTGATCAATAGAAGGGATCAATAGAAGGGAATGCCTAGCTGACTGCTTCCCAGCATTCTCTGCCTTGGAAACTAAATTAATAGCATTTCTCGGGTATACGCATTTTAATACCAGTAAGTGTTTGGATTTCTTCCAGATTTAACATTTACTGTGAATTTCCGGGATTTATGTTCTGGAATTTTCTTTGTAAAGTAATATGAGATTTACAGATAGTCAAATACCCCTCTTCTAGAGCAGGTATTGTTGTTGTAACAACATGGCTCTGAAACACAGAAACTTCATATGCAAGTCCATGATGGACCAGAATGTCTGATGGGACTTATGAAAGCCATTCATTGTTAGTTACATCAAGGGCCAAGACTCATTCAGCACACTGACAATAAACACGTGGTGCAGCCTGGTGAAACTTCTTCTAGAGGCCAAAGCCTAGAAGGCCAAACCAGAAGGTGCTCTCTGAGGAACACATGGTCAGGGAGAGGAGGCAGTGGCACCCCCAAAGCCAGCTGCAAGCTCAGAAAGGCACAGACATCATCTGAGCTGCTGTTCAGGTGGTTTGAGGTGTTTGCTGAATGTTAACCTCCAGTTATTAAAAGCAGTGATGCTGCCTGCTTTGTGCATGACACCACCACCACTGTATAGATGATCTCATCTTTCAGGGACTTTGCACATCCATCCCAACCACCTTACAGAGCACTGAGTCCCTGCACCAAATCAGAATGAAGGGGAGACTCACTGGCTGGCTCTTCCCCTAATTTGTGTCTGTACCCTGGACATTTCAGTGTGTATTGAAAGAGCAAAATTGGGAAACTGGGCTCCAGCTGGCTCTGAATTATTTTAAACAGGTATTATGGAGGCAGAAGAAGACATGTATTTAACCAGAGCCACACAGAAATGCAGTATTTCTTTTAAAATATGCATAGACAATTTAAAAAGAAAAATACTGCGATTGCTTCAGGACTGCCTTTGGCTCTGATTAGAAACAGCTGAGTAAAGCCAAATGCTCAGCTGTTTCTGCAAAGAGATTAACACCTGTTGAAGATGGAATAAAAATATGTGATGGAGTTTAAGAGCAAATATCAAAAGATCATTATTGTAAAGCTAACAGTAACACCAGTGACTGATCGCATCCCCACCCTGTCACGCTACATCATTCCTGGGAGGGAAAAAAGCACTTTAACACATCCACAGCACATAAGCAATATGTGCACATATTTTCAGCTCTTCATCCACAGCTGGGAGAACGGCTTCTCGACCCTGTTATCCAAAGAAAATTTACAGATGGTATCAGGTTGTCATGAAATAACATCTACCCAGGCATGCCATGTAGGCTTGAGGCAGACAGCTGTATTATAGCATGTGTTGCTACAGTTCATGCTAGTGTCCCATTTAGGGTAGGAGAAGCATTCTTAGTTTTTTACAGGGCAAGCCTTGAGGTACATACAGACTGGGGAACAAGAAGCTGGAGAGCAGCTCCATGGAAAGGGACCTGGGAGTCCTGATCACTGGCAAGTTGAACAAGGGCTGGGCAATTGGCAACTAGCAATTGGCACCAAACCTGACAGAGTTTGGACAATATTCTCAGGCACATGTGTGTGACTCTTGGGGTGTCCTGTGTGGGCATAGGAGTTGGACTCGATGGTCCTTGTGTGGTCCTTCCAGGATATTCTGTGATTCTGTGTGTGATTTCCCACATTTCCATTCCCATGTGCTGCAGGCACAGTAGGCACACGTTGTACCTCCTTTTCTGCAGGCTGAAGGCAGCCTCCTGCCTCAGGGACCAGAGTTTCCCCTCGACCCCACAATGCCAGCCTTGCTCCAAACAGAACCGGAAAAGAAGGCCTGGCACTGCTGGAGCTCCCCCACCACCCCAAAGTGAGTAGCAGAAAAGTGACAGGCCCTGTGTGCTGTTTGGCAAGCTCACTGCATTTCTCCGAGGCTGATGCTGAAACTGAAATAAGTCACCTCACATTTTTGACCCCGAAACAGAGTTTCTTTCCTGATGAAGCCCAGCTGCAGGGGCACTCCAGATCACAGTGAGCTCCCCAGTTCATCAACGTGGTAAGTAGGGGCTACCAGGCTCATTTGACTCAAATGAGGGGTTGCCCACATTTCCAGGAAGGGAAGCACTCCAGACAATGTTGAAGGTTACACTTGCAGCCTCACTGAGAACATGCCTCAGGAGTGCCCTATGGTGCAGACATACACTTATATGCACCACACCACACACAGCTGTGGGCATGGCCCACCAGTGCCCCGAGGTGAGGGTCACAGCTGTGACCACTGGGATGGTGGTGGTGGGGACGCAGCCTGGGCCTGCACTCTCTCGGCACTGATTAGTCCTCCACAACCTCAGGCATGTGAATTGCCACTTACTCCTTTCAAGAGTAAACATTGCAATTGTACCTGAGCCACATTTGGGTGCTTTCCAAAGCTGCTTATGGTGGCGGGGAAGATGAGCCCATGCCACCCAGGCTTTCCACTGGCATCTTCCCTCCAGCTGCTAGAGACTGCTGCCACCTCAAGTCACGTAAAAATCTAATCTGAGGCAAAGGCCACCCCTGGCTTTCCACTGCCTGCAAACTGACAAACTGCAGCTTGCTTCTCTCCTGCAGATATGTCATTCTTCAGGCTGGAAAAGCTGCCGAAATGGCTGTGTCCAGTGCACGTCCCTGCACAGGTTCCCCAATCCCAATGGAGGTAATGGCTCAAAGATTTACACCGGCTAAAAGTTTTGAGGCATATCTCCTGAAAGCAAATTTATTTTTATTCCAGGAGGTATTAATAATAGAAAAGCCTGGGTTCTGTTGGCTGATCTCTTTATTTTTTCTCTGGTCATTTATTGCAGTTCCTTTTATTTATTCCTCTGATTTAAATTTCTGTTCTTGTTTCATTTTGATTCTAGTTTCTTCAAATATTATGTACATAATTTAAGTTGTAGCATTCAGAAAAATAAATACCTGGGAATCACCTGTGTAGCACAGAAGCTATGAAAGGATGCAAAATGCAGAGAGCACAGAGAATGAGAAAAAATACTTACATTTTTATTCTATTTTCTTTCAGTGTTGTATATGGAACGTTTTATCTCTCGTGTTATCAAAAAAAAAGGTAGCTATAGGAATGGTTCTGAAAATATGCTTTGAAAGGATAAAGAAACTGGAAGACTATCCATAAGAAGACAAACTGTAAAGATTTACAGAGAGAAATGAAAAATATGATATGCAGTAGGTATATCTAATAATGGATTTTTAGAGAAAGTAATTTGATATATCCTTTTTCCATGCTACAAAGGAAGCATGCTACCCCTTTGGACTAGAATTTCTTTCAAGACTTGGTGAAAGTCTATTTATTAATTTAAATTGTCAAATTTTCACAGAGCCATTGGATAGGTTTAAAATTAATTCAGAATAATCATCCACACATTATTCTTAGTGTTTATTAAAGAATTGATTGCTTTATCCTGTTCATCTTGAAATATCTTGCTTATACCTCTGAAATATTTAATACTATCAGCTTCATTGCTAGTAGCTGGACTAGGCTGGCCAACAATGGAAATGCTGAAGTTTCTGTAGCTGTACAGACTTTTCCAGGTCCAAGTGAGAGGAGTAAAGCCACCTACTTATTTCTTAAATGAAGTACTTTATTACTTGGGGGACTTGGTTTAAAAAACCATAATATTTTGCATGTCAAGTACTGCAAACTAAAAAAGTAGAAGAGACTACTGAAACTAAGACAAGGTTAATAAATCTTTTTAATTCTTGAATAGCTAACAAGGAAGGGCATGCAAGGACAGACTTAGTGATATAGTCATTACCAAAAAAGGATTTTGTGTCACCTACTACAGAAGTGTAGAATTTAAAACATTTGAAATTATTGCCTGAACACGAATTTCCTTGGGCCAAAATACCATATTTCTGGTAATTGCTTCATGCATTATCTGCAATCACAAATTATTTCACTCTGCCATTCACATGAAAATAATCCAAGGACTGTTGATGCAAGTTCAAACCTATTTTTTCTCTGGGCTGTCACCTTCAGGTGAATGTTGTAGAACAGCATTTTTCACTGCCAGGTTCCCTTAACCAAATTGGTCCATCTGGCTATGGCACAGAGAATCAGAAAAGAAGTAGTAGAACCCTCTGTTTACAGCTTTTAATGGTTCCTTTACTTCTACGATTAGCACTGTTTATAGCTGAAGGTAATTATTTACTTGTCACATCCCAGTTTTAAGGGTCCCCTGCTTTAAGAATCATCAGATCTCACTGCTGGAAGAGGCTGTCATGGAGTTTTCCTCACTGAAACCAAAACTTACTGTCTCAGAGAGAAATTGCCACCTACATTGATATAATAGCGTTCTCCCTAAAACGAGTCTTCAGAGCGTCGTTTCTGTATAAAACTTGCACAAAGTAATCAAAATGAAACTTCTGTTAATTGCCTAAGCTATCTGAAGTTCCCCAGTAATTTGACAAGCTGCAATTAGCTGCATCTTTTCCAGAGGGACACTTGGAGAGGGGAAACAAGGCGGGGGGAATGAGGTATCCTCATTCCTCCGTGGAAACGTGAGATTTCAGTGACTTGCATTTTCTTGTATTTATGGATATAACCCTACAAATGCAGTTGGAGATTTTGTTGCTTGCTTGTGACAAAAGCGTGTGTGTACCATAACGGAGCTGGTTTTTAGACCCCCATTTGGAGTGCTGCCGGGCAGGCAGCCACGGCAGCAAGCTACCAAGCTCTGCAGCTGCCCAGGGAGCCAAAGGCTTGGCAAGTCACATTATCATCTGTTTCAAGCCAGGCTGGGCGTGTCCATATGAACTTCAGGAGCAGTTTTGGCAAGAAAGCAGATGTGACTACACGGCTCCATTTTTTCACTTTAAAAACACACTTGACTTATAAAGGCTGGAGCTGAAAAACATTGATCCTTTCTGACCATGCATGAAAGCCAGCACTAGGCAGAAATTATAGAATCCACATGTGAAGTGGGAGAAATCGAGCCCATTTCCTTGTGAGCTGGTTTGGTTATTACAGAAGTAGTCCACCAGGTAGAGCACACCATAAGACAGGGCTGTTGACTGCACAGTAACCTGCCAGCCATGTCCATGGTGCAGAGAGAGGGACTCTGGTAGAACAACCTTCTCACAGAAGGCTGTGGGTGCTCATTACAAAGGCAGCAACAGCTCCACATGCTCCTTTGAGAACAGCCCAGTGAAAATCCAGGATGTTTTCCCCATGTACTCAGGTACCAAGGTAAGCATCTTGGCAAAGGAAAGCACATTTTTCTGAAAAATAGTTATGATCTCATTACCACAGGTTGGAGTTTTTCTTTGATTTTGTCTTTTTTTTCCCCCCGTTTGTTCAGAGCAGAAATTGAATGGACAGGTTTAATAATTATAGGTAGCGTGCTTTGGCAAGCTCAGTATCTCTTTTCAAGCAGTGGCAGCTGAATATAGTAGGCAATTCCCAACCTCCTACCCTAGAGTGGGTAATCTCTGTCTTCCCTTGCTGTGGATTTCCTCAACTGCCAAGTACTAAACAAACATAGAAGGAATGCTGTCAAGTCACATCGAGACCTGAAAATTTAGAATTTCTACCTACCAACATGAACAAGACTCTGCAGACAACAAAAACCTTCACTTTTACCTCTATATCAAAACAAAACAAAAAAAATAGTTAACATGTAAGGTAGAAACCTCCCTATTTCAGTATTGCAGAAGTTCATCTCTGCACAGATTCACTTGTGCAATTGAGTAAATTGCTAAAGAGAATTTAGGTCTTTCACTGTTGCTAGAGGTGAGGGAACTGGGCGAGAGAGGGAAGAATACAAAAAGGAAAAGTAAATTGCATTTTTTTAAATCCCTCCATGTTTCAACCTGGGGAGCTTGATTTAATGTGGTAGGTGTTCTTGGAAGTGAGCATTCCAGATTTCATGTGCTTTTTGAGCTTTAATTAAATAATTTGAAAAAGAATACCATATGTGCACAGACTTCTCAGGGGATAAGCATGTAAATTTCTACGTTGATATTTGCAGACTGTTGAACTCGTACCAGCATGGAAGGAGGCTTAGGGATTTTTCATTTCTTCCAAATAACTGCCTTAGCAGCTATGAAACTAAGTGGGCATCTAGTAATCTTTGTCACATTCTCCAAGGTTAAAGTTCCCCAACAAAGAAGCTACTGCATTACTGAGAATTTTTGCCAGAAAGAAAATACACCTTTATGAGTGTTTTTGTTCTCCCATAGTAATAATAAAAAAACATTAAAGCACACATAATGCAGCAGTCAGTACCTATTCTAGCTGTGCAGTAAAAAGCAAAAGGAGCCCAGAAGAACAAAGGGGAGGCGTGAATAAGTGCTAGCACAGGCACCAGGTGGAGCGGCACATCTGTACCCTGACTGACTCACTCACCCAGCTTGTTTTTATATAAATCAACCACGAGACAAACTCCACTGTTATGTGCAGCTTTGATAACACATAATTAGTTGGTGATTTAGCGACCCTTGAAAAAAATAGGACAGTAATCATGGCAGGGCAAAAGAATGAAACAACACAAAAAGGAGGTGAATTAGCCCCTGCAGCCACCAATTTTTTGAGCTCTTCGGGTAGTTTGTCAGACTGTAACAATAGAAGTGATTTTGGAAATAGGAGCAGTTGATAAAGTGGAAATGCTGCTGATTGACATCCTTCTTCCAAACTAAAAAAAATGCTTGTGAATCTGTAGTGTGGAACTCTCTTAAGAAAATATTTTAAAACCTGAGTAACTACTGCAAGTGTTGTCTCTCTGATCAGAAGGATGAGGTGAGCGACACCTACACAAATGAGGGTACAAGGAGGCAGGAGACAACCAGGCATGAGTTTACTTCTGATAGAAACTCACAGCTCTCTCATCAAAAAGAAAGCTCATCTCTAAGACTTCTTCTGAATAAAAAGACAAGTATTAAATGTAACAAAAATCACTCCCAGTCCTCACTGCACCCAGTGTGGAACAGGCCACTAGCATCAACCAATGCAAATATCTGCTGAATTCTGCTATTAAAAAGACAGGAAATATTTTCTGTTAGGAGGAAGGCACTGTAATTAGCCTTTGCATTCATTAAAAGTACATATTACAGGGATTATGCATTTATTAAAATATGTAACATAATTGCAGTTTTAGGGAAAGGCTCCGAGGGCTTACAATATGATCCCAATTTTTTAGTTTGTGATCTCTGGGATCACAGACTGAGAAGAGAGCTTTTACCCAGCCACTTTATCATTCATCTCAGCTGCCTCTCTCTGCCACAGAGGAAACTCATTCCAAAAAAGCTAACCTGAAAGCTCCAATTTAACTCGCTGCTCTGTATTTATGCTTAATATGTTCCATTATAGAAAACTATTTTTGAACAAGCATTTTATATGCAACTGCAATTTCCTTTGCAAAACTTTGTGGAGGAGAAATAACAGCATCATGTTTGTAACCTTAAGACTCAATATGGGCACTGTTTTGTGTTTTGGTTTTTTGTTTTGTGGTGTTTTTT